CTTGAGGGATGAGGCCCCGAGGACGAGGTCCCTCAGACAATGTGAATCCGCACTCGGACCCCTCGCCATCCGCAGGACCCCATCCCTCGGGACCCCATCTTTCAGGAGAAGAAAGAACACACAGACAAAAATATGGGAAGTGGGGGGAAGACAAACATACGGGAAAAAATGGAGGATCCTTTTATTTGTGTGTATTTATTTGTGTGTCCCAGGGCCCCTTCAATCTTCGAGCCACCGAAGGCGGGCCGAAGTGGGCGCTGTTCGACGGCTACCTCGACACGCTCGTCGCGTGGCGCACCGGGTGGGACCCGCGGCGCGCCGCCCGCCTGGCCCACGACCTGGCGCGCTGCGCCGCGGAGGGCCGCCCGCCCGAAAAAGAGAGTCCGCAGACCACATTTATGCACCGTACCATGGCAGAACCCATGGGGCTCATCGAAATTTCGAGGCTCTTCGAAATTTCGAGGCTCTTCGAAATTTCGAGGGGGCTCTTCGAGGCTCTTCGAAATTTCGAGGCTCGGTACGGAGATCAAGTATCGTCCGGGATAGGGAGGCTCCGCCGCTGGGCCGCTGGAGGCCGGCCGGCAGCAGCAGCAGCAGCAGCAGCAGCAGCAGCGTGCCCGTGCCGTTGCCCCGCCCCTCGTTGTTCCTTTTGTCAGGAGGGGAGAAAACACACACAGACACAAGTAATCGCCGATTCCAAGGACGATATGGGAAAATGTGGGAGGTGGGGGAGGAAACAAAAACCCAGAAAATATGGGAAACGATGGGGAATTCTTTTGTTTGTGTGTATTTATTTGTGTGTCCCAGGGCCCCTTCACTTTGTCCTGGCATCGCTCGGACGTGTGCATGTTTTCTTTCCCGGCGAGGACCATCGAGGACCATCCTGGACCATCGAGCAAAACAAAAAACATGCAGGAGGCCGAGCGATGGCGAGTTGTTAGGAGAGCGAAAAATGGCAGATAAACATAACAACTCGGAAGTAATTACACGCGGAGTTCCTGGATCCGCGCTGGACCACCCTGGCGGCGCCTCCGGCGCCGCCCCTGGCGCGCTCCGCGCGCCAGGAGCTCAGGTCAAGTGTTTGGGTTCGGATTGTAAGCCTCCCACAGTCACGGGCGGCAAGAACTGAAAGAAGATCTCGGGTGGAAGGCACCCTGATAAGAAAGGTGTCTCTGTGGAGGTGACTTACAGCCTCAGCATCTCCGCCTAGTGATTTTCTTCCGTGCCAGCATGCTGTGTCTCGGGTTGTCTGTCACGACTGTTCCGTTTCTCTGGGGCGTGGATCCCGAGGGCCAACAATGAGGAAGGAGGATGAACGGGGAGGAGGAGGAGGAGCAGGAGGAGGAGGAGAAAGCAGGGTTCGAAGTTCTCGTCCAGGGAGGTCTGTCTGTCCATGGGGCAGCCAGAGAGCTTGTCCTGCTGCGCTGCTGCGCAGCAGGGGCAACGTCTCAGGCGATCGCAAACATGGATCAAGGGGGCATGGATCAGCGACGGTCCCCGTTTCCATGGGACATCGCGGATTCCCGCAGCCGAGCGAGGCGGTATCAGCCGCAGGCACCTCCCCCGATCCATGGACTTGGCGACCGCGTGCCAGGTCCACGGATCGCCCATCCAAGTCTGCGGGCGCCCCGAACGTGTCAGGGGGGCATGGGCTCATGGGACGGGGGGGCGGGCTCCTCCGCCTCCTCCTCCTCCTCCTCCTCCTCCCGGGACGTTTTTCGGGGGGGGTCGTCCCACCCTTCGGGGGCGGCAAAGAGGGGGGTGATGACTAGGGGGGGTGGATCTCATGGCGGGGGCCCTGATATTTCCTCGGGTTTCATGGCGCCTCCTCTTATTTCATGACCTCCCTGGCCCCCCCCAGGGCCGCGCACATGCCGCTGGTCCTGATTTGCCCCCCCCCCCCCCCCCTCTTGGACACCCCCCTCTTGGCCGCTCCCGACCCCCTGCCCTTGGGGGCCGGTCCGCAGGGGCACCGTCCGAGCAGTGAGCGCACGCTGGGCCCGAGGCGTCGGAAGGGGCTCCCGGTGGGTTGTCGCTGCGCAGGAGGCACGGTCAGCTGATGAATGAGTGACTCACGAAAACCCAGAAGGTATGGGAAAATGTATGGAATCCTGTTACTTGTGTGTGTTTATTTGTGTGTCCCAGGGCCTCTTTATTTCTGTCCTCGCCCTGGACGCAGGTCGGGCCACCCCTTCGTGGCCGAGGCTCGCCGTGGCCCGTGGGTAACATAATCGTGCGTACAGCTCGCGAGCAAGACCCCTGGGCCGCGACGCCGCGGATGCCTGTGCAGAACGTAGTTGGTCCTGGAAACGACGGGGCCGTTTTTTTACCGGTTCCGTTTTGCCGTTTTTGTTGCCGGTTCCGACGCCGTTTTTGTTACCGGTTCCGTCGCCGTTCTATTATAAGGGTTCCCGCTCCAGTTCCAGTCTTGGAGCCGTTTTTGTTGCTGTTTCCAGTCGCGTTTTTGTTTTCGTTTCCATTTTTAAGGGACTTTTGTTCGGAACCGGTGAAAAAATCCTTGCCGTTTCCGGGGCCCGCTAAGGTCTCGACGCAAATGCCAGCCAGCTGCAAGGACGGTGGCTGGTGCCATGCGCCATGCCCCGTGGTCATTCCACGGGGTGGCGACGAGCAGCGCATACTGCCCGGGGTCTCCTGGCTTGTTCCCCTGGACCTCTTGCGCCTCGTCTTTCCCCCTCTTGAGCCAACAGTTGTTTCCTCGTAGTCATCGTTGCGATTGTCCCGCCCCCGCCTGCTCTTGTTTGCTGTCTTGTGCACTGGCGTTGTAGATCCGTACTGACCCGGATCATGAGCCTCACCTGCCTGAACGCAGGGCTCGGCCAGAGCCGGTTGCAACCGGAATGCCTTGCCTGCGGAGAGGTGGACGTGTCCACCAATGCGATCCGCCTCGTCGGCATGTGCACCAAGATCTTCGTGCCGGCCCACATCCTCGCCTGCTTCTGGCGCCCCTCAGGAGGGAAAAAACACACAGACACAGTTAATCGTCGATCCCCCAGAAAATATGGGAAACTATGGGAAGTGGGGGGGAAGACGAACATACAACAAGTATTGGAAAATACGGAAAATCCTGGGGTTCGTGTGTATTTATTTGAGTGTCCCTGGGCCCCTTCAGCCCCGCCGCCCCTCCCGCCCCCGTTGCTCAAAGTGTGTTGTTCTTAGAACACATCCGGGTTCTAAGAAGATATCGTGGTAGGCCTATAGGAATGCCGGGACGGTCGGTCCCTTTTCAAGACAGTGCCACTCCCACCACGTGCGTGGCGAATAGCCGGGCGACTCCTCTGAGGACGGATCTCGGAGGTAGCCTTTCGATATACAGTGCCATAGATTTGCGCCTCTGGCGCCGGCAGGCCTGGGAAGGCAGCGAACTACGTGAGCTGATTAACTAACCCCCTTCATGCATCCGGTACAAGGATGCAGCGACGGTTCCCCGCGGCACTGTGCAGCCATGGGGTTTCTTGCTTGCCAGCACTCACGCACGCACGCACGTGATCTGCATGTTCTGTATGTCTGCCAATGTGCCGTCAGGGCGCAGCTTACATCTTCTTCTTCTTCTTCTTCTTCTTCTTCTTCTTCTTCTTCTTCGTATCCTTCTTCGTCCTTCCGTCCGAGTTGAGAGGTTCGTGAGTTGGGATGCGACTCCTGGGATTTTGGATCCGTCGTCGGCGCTGGTGTATCCGTGGCCGAAGACGAGCCGAACCCGGCAGAATCACCGGGAGGCCCATGGAGCCCAGCTTCATCCGACGGAATCGAACGGACCACCGCCACCGAGAACACACCCGGGGCGGTGGGGCGGGTGCACTCCCGAGCGTCGCCCTGGGGTGACGCTCGGGCGCGCCACCGACCAGAGGTCGCCCCCCCCCTCTTACCAGCCTGGAACATATCCCTATCCCTATGCTGGGCATCTCCTCATCACGATGCCAATCTTGAGGATTCCTTAATTTTTTGAGGGCGCACCCCTAAGATTGTCATCGCTTTTTGGCGTGCCAATCTTAGGGATAGGGATAAGTTCGAGGCTGGTAGCCCGGTAGCCCTCCCCCCCCTTGTGGGCCCTCGGTGGCGGTGGTCCGTTTTTTGCCCTCCAAGTCGGGCCGCGGCAGCCTTCGCTGGCTTCTCTTCGTGCAAGGCCCGCGAGGCGATGATGGCGGCCCGTCTTGTCGCCAGAGGCGACGAGCGCGGCCCGCCGGCCGCCGCCGCCCGTGGCCAGGGCGCAGTTGCTTCCGTATTTTTCTTGTCGTCCGGCTCCCGCTCCCGCCTTTCCGAGTGGACTTTGCCACCGCCGCGGCTTGCCCCGCACCGTCGGGGTCGATTGGAGCGGACACACGAGAGGACACGAAGACCCTTCCGAGGACCACATTTGCCATAGTGAGGAGTGTGGGAGTCCTATGGGTCGCGAGAGAGAGGACACGAGGGGATCCTTGGTTTGGAAGGGTCGACTTGGCAACCTCGACTGTGGATGGGCTTGTTTTCCACCACCACCGCCATAGTTGGAGGGGGAGGGGGTCCTCCTTCCCCTCTTCCTCCTTCTCCACCTCCTCCTCTTCCTTCCGTAGCCATTTTGGCTCAAGCCATTTTGGTTCAAGATGGCACGTCATCGCGAGGCCAGCGTGGATATCACTAGTCCGCGGCCAGTCCCAACAGACTCGCAGCCACACTCAGGGACGAGCTGCCGTTCACTCCTGCGTTCTATCCCGGCGTAGCAAGCCGCCTGTCAGATTGCGGTGTGTCTCGTGAGTTTCACGCCGAGCATCCACATCGTCGCGCACACCGTGCCGAGCATCCAGATTCCCGCATCGAGCCCCGTGCCGTGCATCCATATCGATTCATCGTGTGCCGTTCCGCCCCAGCCCAGTAGAGTCAGTCAAGTACGCAGTGGTCTCACAGAGGACCTGGCCAGTGGCGACTCGTGGAACAGCATCCTCATACTAGTTGCCTGTACTACGACATCATGTGTGCCGCTTCCTCCGATAGGGACGACCTCTCCAATGGCTCCACGTCTCGCAGCCGCCAAAACCACCGACGCCATCGCCGAGAAGATTCGTGCGGCGACGAACATCGTCATGAGGACCGCCAGCATCGGAGAGAAGAATCCCGCAGAGCGGGCCGACGTGCTTCTCACGAACTCTTCGAACACAGCGGCCAGTGGATTCGCCAATGAAAGACCCGCAGCTGGTCCTCAACCGCATGCCCGTGCTGCAGGGCGGAGTACGGGGCACCTTCCACCGACCCCATCTCGCAGGACAATCTGATCGGGAAAAAGTGCAGCGGCCGAAGCCCCCGCCGTGGCCATGGAAGCGGACGCGAAGGCTCAACCTGGTCATGCTCAGCTCTCTTCTCTATCAGGTACCACCGACCCATGGGCCAACCCTCGTTTTGTCGAACAACAGTTGCGCCCCGCAGCTGCCGCACAACTCGCACGTGACATCGAAATGGCGCCCACCTTTGCATCTCAACCCGTCCTTCTACCAGCCGCTCCAGTCGCTGGCCACGCTCCTCCTGGATCCGAACACTCACATCATCCATAACCAGAACGACATGGACCACCACTTCCTGGGATGCCCAAAGGTCTGGACGTCGTTCTACGTGAACTCACGCAACGCCAAGTCGCTACTGCCGTCTCCCGCTTTCAAGCACAAGCTGATCAGCTTCTCGCTGAATATAGTGAAATTATGTTCTGTCATCCCGCACAGCAGCAAGTGTCCGCTATTGAACGCTGAGCCGATATATCTCGGGACGAAGTTGCCCGTACTCGCTGAGAACAAGACCGCCAAGTTGCTGAACACCAGCGCATGCGGCAACACATCGACCAGATACGCGACACCTTGGCCCTCGCTGAAGCGCAGACTCCGATTGCGGACCTTATCCGCCTGGCCGAATGGGACCACCAGCCTGATCTCACCCTCTTCTCCGTGGGCTGCCAGCGCCTCATCGCGCCGAACGCTTTGCTCAGCGACCTCCAGGAATGGATTGCAGAAGCCAATCTACATTCGAACCAAGTGGAGCTACTGGGAGATGGCGAACCATCACGACTCATTGTTCTTCAAGTCAAAGGAGATAGCGCAGTCGCAGAAGCCCCGAGCCATGGTTCTTTCGCGCACGATGCGCAACGCTGCTGGGCAATGGAAGCGTTTCTCTTCTACCGATACCACGGGCCAGACCGTCGACAACTACACCAGTCCTGAGAAGGCCCTGTAGCAGATCAGGACTGAAGTCCAGAGCAAGAAGCTACTGCAACTTATGCAGCACCGTTATCCTCGGCATCGTCGGAGAGCCTTCCGCGCCGAAGGGTAGATACACTGCGACTCCATGCCCATCGTCGAGATCGTCATCCGCGGCCAGAGTGACCCCTCCATCCTCCAGTGGAACGAGCAAGCCTTCGACCATCAACAATGCCAGCCCATTGACCGCGGTAACATCCGCACCCCCCTCCAGGCGATCTTCGCTGACGCAGAGGCTGATACGTGGCTTTCCTAACCGCCGCCGGCCCCCTGTCGATTTGACGCCGCCACTGTGCCGACTACTATCGTCATCTTGAGCGCTCGAGCTCCCATGTGCTACAAGGGCAGGCGTCGCCGTCGCAAACAATTTGATCTCGCCAAGATCATGAAGCGCAAGTGCGCGATCACGCCCCAGGAGGTCCACGCTCGGCTCCGCGCCCGGGTCGACATTCAGCCGTACCCGGTCTACTTCTCAGCGTTCCCTAGCGTCGACGGCGACGACGCCGCTGGAGGAGTCGCCACGCTTGTTCCGTGGCCCTCGCCGATGGAGCTGGAACAGCTCAAGCCGCATCAGCCCCCGCTCTTTGATCGCGTCGAAATTGTCCCCCGGCGCGTCCAGCAGCTCACGATCACGCGCGCTATCGCGCAGGCCACCATGGTTACCATGGGCATCCACAACCACATCGTGTTCGACGACCGCCGCAAGATCCAGCAGGCATGGAAGCTCAATCGTACGTTTGCGGAGGCGAACTGCCGCACGCGCACAGTCATTGCGGTCGGGGACTTCAACGTTGCCAGCCGCCCTCCGCAGAGCTCCTTCCAACCGCGGCCGCAGGTGGCGCGCCTTGGCCTCGATGACAGCACGCGCCAACAGCAGCCGTCCTCGGGCCCTCTTTGGTTCTATGCTCGGGATTGAGACCGGCGCCCCATGCGGTTCAACCGCTCTGACTACACCGTTTCCACCATCGACCGCATATTCACCAATCAGCCCCCCCCTCTCGCGCCACGACCGAGCTCGCCATCGACGCGAAGGTCGCACGCGATGCGACGCTACTTTCGGGCGGCCGCCTCAGTGACCACGCGATCATCACATTCTCCATCGGGATCAAAACACGCACCCCGCTCGCCGACCAGGCCATCCACCCGTCGATCTTCCGCGACCCGAACTACTCCGTTTACCTTCAGCAGCTGCTTGACGCCGCGAAGACCGGCCGCGCGTCCATAGACAGCCGTTGGCGCATTCATAAGAGGCTCATGACTGAAGCGGCGCAGTTGGTGCGTGATGACTGGGTTTGGAAGACCGCTGGCGACGCTGGCGCGACGGGCCTTCTCGCTGGGAGCGTCCTCGCTGCGCGCTCCATGTCCAGATCCATCTGGCGGCAAGATCTTCATCTCGCTCGCCGCGTCGCCGCCGCCGCCGCCCTGGGCGCCGTGCACCTCTCGGTCGACAGCGGCGCCATCACGCTCCGCCACCCCCTCGTCTACGCCACCCAGGCCGCGCAGTTGCGCCGCGACTTCGAGGCCAGGCAACTGCAGGCAGCTCAGCGCCCCCAGGGGCATGGAGGAGCACTGCCGCCAGGGAAGCTTCGGTCCATCATGTGCCCCCCCCCAACGTCGGGCCCTCCTTCGGGCGCCCTGGAAACGCCGTCTCGTCATCCAGTGCGCCATCATCTCAGGCCCCGATGGGCCGCAGACTGCCAGGGAGAGAGTAGCTCCATTGTTGCTGCTCGTCGCACGCACTGTCAACCCACCTTCGAGGCGTAGCTTGCCGACGCTGCCGACATCGCCGACTACATCCACGCGCGCATGCCCGAAGGCGACGCCCTCGACATCGGGGCGCTCGCCAAGCTGCAGATCAATGCCTACCCGCGCAGGGCTTCCCCATCGGCTCCAGGTACTCTGACTCCCTGCCATATTCTGCCTGGCTCGCGCACGACGCGTCGCTCAACCTGCTCGAGGACTTGGCTTTCTCCCGCTGCTCGGGCCAGCACTGCGCCCGTGATCTGAATGACTCCGACTTCGCCTTGCTGCCGAAGGATGACAATGCACAGGGCGAGCTCACCGCAGACAGGGCGCCTGAGGACACGCGCCCCCTCTCGCTGAAGAACGCGGCATCTAAGCCATCGCTGACGCCGCTAGTTACATGCGCAAGAGCGCCGTGGCAGAGCGCGCGCACTCCGCCCGGCAGAGCTTTGTCCAGAGCCGCAACTTCACCGAGCACATTGTCCGCTTCGACGCTGGGATGCGCCGTGCTGGATGGCTACCAGAAGCTTTTGTATCCAAGCCCGTTTTCGCCAGCTTAGAATGCCCGGCGGCCGTCCCCCGTCGTCGGGGCGGGACTGGCTCTTCGTCGCGCTCGAGCACCTCGGTCTCCCGCAGGGCTTCTTCCATTTCTTTCAGGCCATGTACTTTGCGCCCGCCAGCTACATCGAGATCGACGGAGTGCGCCACGACACGTTCGCGACAGGCTCTAGAGCGGCACAGGGCTGCCCCGCATCGGGCTCGGCATGGGCGATAGCCATGGGCCCGATCACCCTTCCGATTGGGTCGTTTGTGGAAGACTCGAACGGCGCGACGGTTCTTGACGCGGGCTACGCGGGCGCCTGCGCTGACGACATTGGCCCGCTGACGTACTCGTTCGATGCGCTGCGCCGAGTGACCTTCCGTTTTCCGCTGCAGAGGAGCTCGCGCTTCTCTTCCTGAAGCCCCGCGAGTGCTTTATTGTCCACCTTTGATCTGGCGCGCCCCCAGCCACCATTGCCACCGCGAAAGCGCCCCTGGCAGATATCGGACCTCCGCGGGGTGGCTTCTCGGTTGCAGGGCGAGCCAAATACTTGGGCACTTTTCTCGCCCCCGGGGCCTCACTGGCCTCCCAATGGTTCGCCTCTGGGCAAAAATGGTGGCAGCGGGGTAGTTTACTTCAGCTCGTGCAGAGTGGCAGCGGCGCAGCGGTTCGCTTATGCAATGGACCAGCGCTGTCTACGCTGAGCTATGTTTCGCAGTTCTCCCCCCTTGATTCCTCCATCGCTCGCCGCGAACAATGCACGTTCCACAACATACCCAGCGTGCCACATAATTCTTTCCGCGAGGTTGACCTGATCGCCATGGCGAGTGGGCGCCCGCCACCTGCCATTCAGTCCGCGCAAAATTTGCGCTGTCGCCTCTGCTGCACGGTCTGCGGCGGCGACGCTTGCAGGCTCTTGGGGGGCCTCCGCAGACCGCCTAGCCGAACTGTCATGGGAAGAGACGACGCTACAGAACGCTCCCCGCTGGCAGGCAGGCGCTTGGTCTCCGCCATTTTGCTCCTCCCAGACAGCCGTCGTTCAGTGCTACCGATCCCTCATGCGCCACGAAGCTCAGTTGCCGTTCTCTAGCCAGTCCATTGCTGCTGCCGCCCGCGCTGCCCACAATGAGCAGAGAGATTCGGCGGCAGCGAACCCGCCCCGACGTGCCAAGTTCCAGCGCATCTGTTCAGCCAAGCTTCGTGGCCAGTTTTTCAAGTCTCCTTTCACGGTGACGCTTTCCAAGCGGCTCCTTGCTTGGGGCCTCCAAGCGCCCGTGGCCCCTGGAGAACGACAGAATCGTTGGGAGGCGCTGACCGACGCTCTCAAGCAATTGCGCCCGAGCTGGCGCTGGGCCACATTCAAGACCCTCGGCGGCGGTTGGACGACCGTGGCTAGAATGCATATTCTACAGCAGCGCAAGTGTGCGTTCGGATGCACGAGTGCACCTGACTCATTCCCGCACTACCTCTCCTGCCCAGCCCTGTCGAGGCCCCTCTGGCCCCCCGGCCCTGCCCCCTGATCCAATTAACGCTGTCGGCATGGGGGCTAGGCCCCGCCACAGCATATGCAGCTGACACCTCCAGCCCTATGCCATTGCCGTCTACGATCTGAAGGATCGTTCTGGCATTCCGTATTTTCAATAAGATGAAGTACGCTGCCAGCGCGCGCACGGCGGCCGTCTCGCAAGCAGACCTTGTCGCCTCACGCCGCGCTGCTCCTGCATTGTTACGCAAGTAGACGAGCCAGGCCAGAACACAGCTTCTGAGACTAAGTCTTTGCCCTCTTCTCGTTCGTGCTCGTGCCCGCCTGCTCTCTTCTTTTCTCAGGGTATCCATACTCCTCCGACTCCTCCTCCTCCTCCTCCTCCTCCTCTTCCTCCTCCTCCTCCTCCTCTTCCTCCTCCTCCTCCTCCTTCCCCCCATCCAACGTATGGTGGTGGTGGTGGTGGAAAACAGGGCCTGCCACTATGTTTGGGCCCCGGCCCGCGCGCGCCGCCGTCAAAGGCAAGTCTGTCGGAGCGGCGGCGCGCGCTCGCCCGCCTCGCGAGGCCGCGCCGAAGGGCCCGCGAGTCGACGGGGGCGACCCAGGTGGCCGTGGCCGCGGCCCCCGACCCGCTCCTCCTCTTGTTCCTTCCCCTCTTCATGCTCTTCCTCCTCCTCCTGCTTCTCCCCCTCCTCTTCATCATCATCATCATCATCATCATCATCATCATCATCATCATCATCATCATCATCATCATCATCATCATTTTCCGTTTCCGTATCAGCATCATCACCATCATCATTCTCAGCATCATAATCATCATCACCACACATCCTCATCATCATCATCATCATCATCATCATCATCATCATCATCATCGTCATCATCATCGTCATCATCATCAGCATCGTCATCACCATCCCGAGGTACTACTTCACCAGCGAGGGCTCCTCGGGCCACGACCCCTGCGGGGCGGGCCTGCTGGGCTGCGGCTCGGGCGCGCCGCGCTCGGCTGCCCCTCCCCGCCCGCGGGGCGGCGCGCGGCCGTTGGGGAGGATCGAGGATTCCTCGTGGGCTCGCGGCCGCCAGGCTCGAGGAGCGAGGATCGAGCATCGGGGATCGAGGATCGAGGATCTTCGTGAGCAGGATTGAGGATGTAGGATCGGCGGAGCGTGGCACGCGACTTGGGGCAGGATCCGCTGCTTCGCGAGCCGGGCAGGTGGCTGCGACTCCACGGATACGTGGCGTATGCCCCGCGCGGGGCCTACCAGTGCCGCCGCGTGTCCGCGGGATCGGGCCCCAGAATCCAGCCCGCGACGGCGTGCATGTGGATACGCTCGCCGCTCGTGGATTGCGGCTCGAGCAAGCTCAGGTTGCACGACGGGGCTCCTCGTGCCTGACGGGCTTGCTTTCCCACCACCACCCTCACCAGAAGTTGGAGGGGGGAAGGATGTCCAGGATGAGGAGGAAGAAGAGGACTAGAACCCCCTCCCCCTCCTATTTATGGTGGTTGCAATGGAAAACACCAGTGCCAGGAGCCCTGATGCACTTCACCTGCGCCTGCACCCCCTCGTCTCTCATCTTCCGTCGACTTGCCACACGATTGTCAGTGGAAGGCATAAGCCTTCGTAGGTCCGCGCGGATTTCCCGTGTTGGCGCTGCTGCCCCCTCCCCATGCCCCCCTGCAGGGCTGGACCTGAACGCTGTTTTGCTGCGGCTGGGTCTTGTTTTTCGTTTTGAAAGGGAGGTACAGGAAATCGGGTAGAGCAAAACGAAAAACAACGCGAACGCAACACGAAAAACAACGTTTAGGTTCAGCCCGGGCCCCCTGCGAATCGCGTGGAGCGCACCAGGGAAGAGGCATAACCAAGGGCTTGGATAGGGGAGGGGATGGGGTCTGAATTGCCTCGCGGATATCTGAGCGGTTTGGCTCCGTCATGCCGCTTTTGTTGTTGGTCTGTTCCCCCCGCGCGCGGGCGTTGCCCAGCTGATGCTGCTCTGTCGCGCCCATCGTGCTGGGTAGTTCGTCGCGACCGGCGCCCTCTTCGCCACCGTTGCCCAGCCGAAGTTGCTCTGTCGTGCCTGTCGCGCCGGGTAGCTTGTCCTGGTCGTCGCCGCCGTTGTTGCCGCCGCCACAGGCGTCGTTCAGGATTCAAGTCCTGGGAGGCTACATCCAGCGTTGGTGCACCGTGGTCGGAAACAGCCTTAGTCTGGCATACTCCTGTTAGATTCCCTCCGATCAGGCTTACTCTAGCTCAATCCTGACTCGAACCGGCCTGGTCTGGCTCCATGAATCCCATTCGGGCTGGATAGTCCTCTATCTTTCCTGCGAAGGCCTCACAGAAGTTGCCTCCTAACATTGTCGTCGTCGTTCGTCATCGTCGTCGTTGGCGTCGTCGTCGTTGTCGTTGGCGTCGTCGTCGGCGTCGTCGTCGCCGTCAGAGTCGTCGTCGTCGTCAGGGTCGTCGTTGTCGTTGTCGTCGTCGTCGTCGTCGTCGTCGTCGTCGTCGTCGTCAGTGTCGTAGTCGTGATCGTCGTCCCCGCGCGCTCGCGCGCGTTGCCCAGCTGAAGCTAGGAGGGGCTCCGGTGTTCGGACCGTTCACGATCTAGCTGAACAAAAACCTTCACGACAACGCCGCTGCAACCGTAGTCGTCGCCGTCGCCGTCGTCGTCTCGTTGTTGGCGTCGTTGCCGTCGTCGTTTGTCATCGTCGTCGGTCCTCGTCGTCGTCGTTCGTCGTCGTCGTCCGTCGTAAACATCGCCCTCGCCCTCGCCTTCGCCTTCAGCGTCGTCATCGTCGCCGCCGTCAGTAATGTCGTCGTCGTTGTCATCGTCGGCGTGGTCGTCGTCGTCGTCCCCGCGCGCGCTCGTGCGCGTCGCCCAGCTGAAGCTGATCTTCCAGGCCCTTCGCACTGGGTGGACCATCAGGCGCGTGCTGCGCGGGAGGGGACTCTGTTTCCCAGCCGCCCCCTGGAGGAGGAGGAGGAGGAGGAGGAGGAGGAGGAGGAGGAGGAGGAGGAGGAGGAGGAGGAGGATGATGATGATGATGATGATGATGATGATGATGATGATGATGAGGATGAGGATGAGGAGATGAGGAGGAGGAGGAGGAGGAGGAGGAGGAGGAGGAGGAGGAGGAGGAGGAGGAGGAGGGATCCCTTCCCCCCCACACGGCGCGGGGAAACATAGAAACCCCGTCCCCAGGGGGGGGGGGTGCCGGTCGTGTCCCTTTGTAATCGGCAGGTACTTCAGTTTGATTCTCCCCCCCAGGGGCACAGGAGGACGCTGTGGGGAGGATGTCAGTTCACCAGTTGAAGGCTGAGAGAGGAGGGGGCAGGGAGTTGGAGCCGGCTGGGGGGCTGAGCTGACCCAGCAGTTGTTCTGACTGGCAGACTGGTGAGAGAAAGGGGCCCCCCTCGTCGCCACAGTCGGACGCGGCTCGAAAACTAGTGCCGACCCCGGGAGGGGTCTGGGGCCCGGGGACAGATTTTGAGCGAATGTGCCCTCCCCCCACCCTCTTGACACATTTTTTCTGGGCTTATCCAGCTCAAACCCCCTAGCCGCTTACAAGGTGGGAGGGGTGAGAAGGAGCGGTTGGGATGAGAAGGAGCGGTTTGGGGAGGAGGAGGAGAAGGGGGAGGAGGAGGAGGAGGAGGAGGAGAGGAGGAGGAGGAGGAGGGGAGGAGGAGGAGGAGGAGGAGGAGGAGGAGGAGAGGAGGAGGAGGAGGAGGAGGAGGAGAGGAGGAGGAGGAGGAGGAGAGGAGGAGGATGAGGAGGAGAAGGGGCGAGGAAAGCTTGGGGTGCCTTGCGGAGGAGGGCCACTTGAGACAACGACGACACGTACCGCCCAGCCCACGGCCGTTCAAAATCAGTCCCTGGACCTCTCTAGTGGTCCATCCCGGCTTGCTTGTGGAGGTCGATCCAGCCGCGGCGGCGAGACGCCTCTAGGGGACCCAAGACGGACGAAGAACTCCAGGGAGGTGAGGAGGCGACTCCTGAGAAATTACGGCCAGCACCGCCGCTATCACACCAACGGTCGCAAACCAGCATAGTCCCATTCAGTTCCGTGCAATCTGGCTCAATCGGGCTTCACTCGGAGCGCAATGTGTCACCGCCCACCCAAACACCCCAGCCAGACCCGAAGGCCCCGATTTGCCCCCCATTTCCATTGCGGAGGCGGGTGGTTCGGGAAACATGGGAAAACACGCGTGGAACCCGTACCCCTCGCACCCGAAATTCGGGTCTTCGGGTTAGGTTGGGGTGGTCTGGCATAGGGGAACGAAGAATGACATCAACATAACATCTCGGAGGTCAGCGCGGAATTCTCGTATCGGCTCTGAACTCCCCTCCCTGGCACGCGGAGAGCGCCAGTGGAGGCGCCGGAGGCGCCGCCAGGGGGGTCCAGCGCGGATCCGAGAAATCCGCGCGGACCTCCGAGTTTATGTTTATATCACATCTGCCTTCCCTTATGGCAGGTAGTCGAGTTGCCGTCCATTTCCGCTGGGGAGTGGGGTTCGGGGAGCATCGGAAAAACTCGAGTGGAACCCGAAACTCGGGTCTTCGGGCTAGGTTGGGGTGGTCTGGTAGGTAGTCCAGCCTTGGCGGCACCTTCGCCGGACTGACCAGCCCCTCAACCTTCAGTCTGCGCGCGCCTGCGCGTGGGGCAGGTCCGCAAGTACAGCCTGAGCCATGCCGTGGCCAGCACGGCGGACCGCCGCTGCTTCTGCTCGGCCCCCTCCTCCTCCTCCTCCTCCTCCTCCTCCTCCTCCTCCTCCTCCTCCTCCTCCTCCTCCTCCTCCTCCTCCTCCTCCTCCCTCAAAATCTCGTGGGCATGCCCAGGTTGCTGGGGTTCTCAGAAGCCCTCGTGCCGCAGTGTGCTGGCCCGTTTGCGTCTTCGGAGGAGGCTCAGAAAAAGCGTCTCAGAAGGTTGCAGGCCTTCTGAGCCTTCTCAGAGGCCTCCTCCTCCTCCTCCTCCTCCTCCACTGCCTCTTCCTCCTCCTCCTCCTCCTCCTCCTCCTCCTCCTCCTCCTCTTGCTCCTCCTGCCCTCCCCGCCGCGCGGGCCCTCGTCTCGGATGTTCCCAAGGGTACCTTGCATCCTTGCCACGTCGGTCCATCCTTGGCCGCTCTTGTTGGCCGCGCCCCGCTCGAAAAGCTTCGAAATTATCTTCCCAGGCCCTTGCATCCTCATCGCGCGCCCTCATGCTGCGGGTCGGCTCTGCTTCTTAGAGGTGCGCGCGGAGTTCTTGGATCGGCGGTGCGGCCCCCTGGCGCCGCCCCTGGCGCGCTCCGCGCGCCAGGAAGGGGGGCGCAGCGCCACTCCGCGCGGACCTCCCGGAAGTTGTGCCGATGCCGATGTTCGGCCCCACCTCTGGGGGCCCACCTGGCGGACGGTCTTGACTTCGCATCGACTCTGGCCGCCTCTGGCTCGGCTCGAGCTCCGCGCTGGCTCGACGGAGGGTCGACACGAGCTCGATCGCACGTCGACGGGCGCTCGACGCAGCGTCGACGCATGCGTGGACCTGCCATCGCTCGGACGTGTGCATTTTTTCTCGGCGAGAACCATTGAGGACGATCCTGGACCATCGAGCAAAAAAACACGCACGAAACCGAAAGATGCACGGGAAATGGACGTCCGAGCGATGGCGAGTGGATCGAGTGGCTCCATGGAGCTTCTCGGAGCCAACAGCTAGCTCTCCGGCCGGTGCCCGGGCCGCGTGCCGTGGTGAGCGCTGCCCGGGGGCGTCGACGACCGGGGCGCACCTCCATGGGCGCGTAGGTATTCGCGCTTCGCTCGAGGGTGATGACTACTCTGACCTTCCAGAGAGCTTTTTTTTAGCACGGGAGGCCTAAAAGCATAAAACACGAAACGAAACAGTCTAAAACCAAGACATATAATCGCTCTGGGATAGGTTTTTGAGTCGCGTGCTATTTTTTAGCCCTCCTGGAAGATCAGGGTAAGGGGGAATATCATGGCGGAGGGGCCATGTCATCTCCCCAGGTTTCATGGCGCCTTTTCTTGTTTCAGTACTTCCTTGGCCTCGCCCCTGGACTACGCACATGCCGCCGGCCATGATTTGCGCTCCCCCTCTTGGACGCCCCCCTCTTGGCCGCCCCCGACTCCAGGGGCGCGAAGACATTCGCGCTTCGCTCGGGGGTGACGTTGGGAGGGATAGGCTCATTAGATGCTCGTTTTGGGGACCTTCCTGGGGCCCACCTTACTGATCTGTTCGTCTCTGCTCGTTCCACTCCGGTTCGACTCTGTTTCGACTCCAGTTCGGCTCAGGTTCGACTCAGGCTCGACTCGAGTTCGACTCGAGTCGACGGACGCTCGACACAGCTTCGGCACACGAGTGGAGCGATCGGCTCCAGGAAGGTCCCCAGAATTCAGGAGGGGAAAACCACACACAGACACAATTCATCGTCGTCCCCCAAGAAAATATGGGAATTGGGCGGGAAGACCAAAACCCAGAAAACAGAGGAAACTATGGGGCATGATTTTAGTTGTGTGCATTTATTTGTGTGTCCTTGGGCCCCTTGAAGAATGCACATCTAAGGCTCAGGGGGGGGAGGCATCGACCCGCAGTCGCCCGTTCACATGGCCGCCCGGGGCCTGAGCGCCCCGACCCTGCCCAAGAGGAGGCATTCTGCATGCAGCATCGGGGGCCTATCGTCGATCTGTCCGTGTCCTCGCTGCATCGCCGATTCCAGGGCGATGCTCGCCTGAAGTCGGGCCTGTCCCTCTACTGGGGGTATACTCAAACATGATCAAAGAACAGTCTGGGGACGATGTTTGATAATTTGTTGAGCATCTTGGGAGTATGTTTTTGAGTATGTTTGGTTGTTCGTCCAGAATCCGCCAGTGGGGGGACATGCCCGACCGACTGCTCGCCCCCTGAGCCGCCCCCCCCCCTCCTCATCGTCGGGAGTGGACAAACTTCCTACTCTGACATGTCGATTAAGGAATTGGCCGTTCTCGATTCGCGAGAGAGCGTCGCGGCCGTCTTTTTGGCAGGTCCAGGTCCGTCGGTTTCGGTCCCAGGCCGTTTGCACTAAGGGGAGGTTTACCAAAGAGAGGTCTGTCCGCCGCCGAACTCCACCTCCTCCTCCTTCTCCTCTTCCTGTATCTCTCCTCCTCCTCCTCCTCCTCCTCCTCCTCCTCCTCCTCCTCCTCCTCCCTCCTCCCTCCTCTCTCCTCTCTCCTCCCCCCCACCGCCGACGTCGGTGGCCGCTCGCGGTGAGGGGACGGGAGGCTTCCGCCCCTCGGGCCACCCGCGGGGGGGCCGAGGGCAGCAGCGCGCTCCGCGGTCTCCCAGGCCTCCCGGATGTTGAGTCTTACCAGCCTCGAACGTATCCCTATCCCTAAGATCGACACACCAAAAGGCGATGACAATCTTAGGGATGCGACCTCCCAAAATAAGGGAATCCCTGAGATGGGCACCGTGACGAGGAGATGCCCAGCATAGGGATAGGGATATGTTCCAGGCTGGTAAAAGTCGGGCCTGTCCCTCCACAGGGGGAACCTTCAGAAATAGCCAAAAAATGAGATGGGGACAATTTGTTGACTGTGTTTGTGCATGCTTGGAGTTTTTGTTTGAGTATTTTGAATGTCTCGCCCTAAATCCCTCTGTAGGGGGACAGGCCCGACCTATCTCTCGGGCCACCCTCAGGGGGCCGAGTGCAACCACGCGCTCCGCGGTCTCGTGTCCGAGCAGCTGGTTTCGCAGGACTGCCGACGCGTCGGCGATGCGGCTCGATGCGCGTGGAGCCCACTCGCGAGGGCCTTACGGCAGGCGCCGCCGACCCTGCAAGGGGGACGACGACGACAACGGCGGCGCCGCATGGATGCGTGCTCCGGGCCCGTGAGGGGGCCAGGACGAGGCGAAGTGCATTCCAGACCGCTCTCGGAACGCTCTCGGAGCGTCCCAGAACGCTCGGAGAAGGCCGCGGTGCCCGATACCTCCTCCAGAGCCGCCGGATCTCAGAGATCCGCTCCGTCCAGCTCATCCTCACCTGACTTTCCCCCTTGCCCTGGCCTCGTCGCAGCACCGGCGGTGTGGCCAAGCTGGGCCCACGTGCGGCCGCCGCGCCGCGCTCTGCAGAGGACACCGACTCGTCGTTGGACAAGTACGTGATATCCCTGTACTGGGTGGGCCCACCGCGAGCGCCACCGCGAGCAGTCTCGTCCTTCCTCGTGCTCCCCCCTCCCCTCGACAGTCTAGGCTTAAGTTGGGCCTGTCCCTCTTCAGGGGAAATGTTCCGAAATAGTCAAAAAATAGTCAGGGGACGATCTTCGTTTTTTTTTTTTATTATTATTTTTGAGTAGCTCCTGAGTATGTCTTATTTTCGTCCAAAATCCGCCAGTAGGGGGACATGCCCGAAATCTGGGTCTCCCAGATGGGGTCCGAGTGGATGGGGTTGGAGGATCACGCCGCCTCGCCGCTGCATCGGCGATGCGGCTCGATGTGGAGCCTGAAAGTCTCCGCATTGGTGTCGGCCACACACCGCCGACGTCGCCGATATATCGTCGCTGCATCGACGATGCATTGGCGATGCGGCGCGACCCTCCGACCCCATCTACTCGGACCCCCATCTGGGAGGCCTCGATACAGTCAAGACGCGGAAATAAGGACCGCTATGGGCTCGGAGGGGCTCGACATTTCGGGCCGTTCCGTTCGATGTATGCCGTGGAGCTTGTTTGTGGCCTAGGCTCGCCGTGGTCAGAAAAGCTCCTTCGTTCCGCATTCAGCGTTCCTTCTGACAAGACCTCGATTGTTTTAGGACCATCGCAGGGTGTGCGAAGGGGTAGTTTTGTTGTAAGGTATGGTATTATGCTAAGGTGAATTAGATCCGGCCTAGCCTAGCCAACAAATAAATGGGCTGCAAATGCCCTGAGCGGCTTCAAGGGCTCAGGTAACTCCGCTGAGTGGGCTCCACCATTAGCCGCGGTTGTTCGCCCCTCTAAGCCGCGTAGGGCACTCGCAAACCATTTCTAAGCTAGGTTTGGCAAGATCCATTCCACCTTAGCATTCATTTTTAATCTCCTATCACCATCCCCTTAATCCCCTATCCATGAAGTCCTTCCTCGTCCTCCTCCCTGGTCCTTTCCTGGCCTTCTCCCAAAAGAAGCACCTACGGACCCTTCGCGAGAGTGACTTTTGGCGTGGACCGACTAGCACATTGGGTGTCCCCTCCGTGGCCATTTTGGCTCAAGCCATTTCGGCTCAAGTGACACTTCGGGAACCCCCCGCGTCTCTACGTGTCGAGGCGGACCGCATAAGCTCGTGGCCACAGGTGCTCGCCCGAGCAGGCCACGTGCAGCTCCCTTGAGCGCGCAGACTTTTACATACGCATGTCGCCACTGTCAGCGCAATTCCACGGCTTACACGAGTTTCCCCCCCCAGCCGCCATGGCGGAGCTTGCTGACATTATGGTTGCGATCGGATCGATGAAAGGAGAGTTGCTCGCGGCGATTGGCTGTGCGAGCGAGAGGACTGACAGGCTGGAGTTGCAGCCACAGGGCCTGCAGGCCCAACAGGTCTCTTCGGTGATTGAGATGCAGACGCTGATCACTACGATGTCTGTCCAGTGGGAGGAGCGGTTCCGGCAAATGACAGGCACATCTATCATGGTTGATGGAAGTAGCGGATGGTATGATTGTCGCACTGGGAGTGGTAAAGACGCAGGTCCCTCAGGACAGTGTTGCTGATGCCGAGCCCTCTTTCCAACGCACGAGCCGCTCGTACTCTGTGAACTTTAAGACCGAGGAGACTGCCACGCGCTTCAAGCAGTGGGCCTTCACTATGCCATCGATGTGGAATGACCACCGTGATCGAGCCAAGACCTTCCCGATTCGAGTTCGTGGAGACATTCCGTTACCAGCTCGTCTGAGGAAGAATGCACCATCATGTCTGTGGGAGCCCATGAAAGTGAAGTTGGTGAGCGAAGGCTTTTGGGACGGCGCTCTTCGGATGGGGTGCGTTGGATCTGGTTCGGGACGCTTTCAAATCTCCACCGACAGCGGGTCGTGGACGCTGTGCACCATGAAGACGGAGGACAGCCAGTTCGTGATCGTCCCGAATTGGGATGAGCCGTGCCAGTGGAAGTTTTCGGACACAGAGATCGACTTCACCATTGACATTGCTGCTAAGAACAAGCCCTACCTCTAGGACGGGGCGCGGCGGATACCCACAGCCAAGTCGGACCAGGCACCCATGGGACCGATTTTGCCATTACCGGGGACGCCGGTGGGACCGGATTTGCCGTTGCCGAGTCAGCTGAGACACGGGTGCGCCATCTCGGGAGATGATCGCGATCCAGCTGCATTTTCTGAGACTGCCTCTTTTGCGCCAGCCTCTGTGTCGTCAGTCGAGCAGTACCGTGCGATGTGCTTGGTAGTGGGTTTGCGTTTCCCTTCTGCCCTCCCTCCACCTTTTCTGTCTGATCTTGGAATGCTGGTGGGATGATGTTTCTTCCACTCTGTGCGTCAGGATCGCGCGCAGAAGAAGATGTGCATGTTCGATCGTTTCTGTCATTCCTGGGATACTGCTGCTAGCCAGGAAACCCACGGTCACCCAGGAGATATTGACCAGCTCCCCCTGCAAATCCCTCCCCACACCTTTTGCGACTCGTTCTTTCCTGATAGTGCTGCCACTGGTGTATAATTAGTGCCGCAAGCAAGAAGTTCACTGCGTTTTTATTCGCAGGTTGATCACCGCCCACTGATTGAGGGCCGGGTACTCTAGACCGAGATGACGGGCGTGCACGGCCAGTGCAATCTCGTAAATCTACACGTGCCGAACACGTCTGACCACATTGACATAAACTTGTCAGTGCTTCGCTTGATCCGCCGTGAGGTCCCGATGTCTGCCGAACACTTCACGATTTTCCTGGATGCTTGGAACTTTCGCTCGGAGGGTGAGGGGCGTTAACAGGCGTTCACAGGAGTTCAACAACGCATACCCTGGCCTTGCCGAGGTCTACCAGCATATAGACGCACGTGGGGCTGTTGTAGATAACATGATTGACCACAACGCACGATTGGATCGCATGTATCGTTCGCTACCCAGCGCTATTCTTGCAGTTGAGATTATTTCGACCTCGACGACGGGCCGCCATAAGATTGATATGCCGTCCGACCAGATCCCCGCCGCTTCGACGATCTCGATGTATCCGCTGGGGTTGGCTAAGGCTCCTGAGTTTGCCGAGGGGCTGGACAGGGTCCTGCTTGCGCCGCCTACTGCTGCCGAGAGTGATGCGCGTTTGGCATGGGCCAAAGCCTGCGTGCATTCTGCTGCTGCCCGTGCCCGTAGACGCACCGAACTCCGATTTGCGAGCACGTGCGAGGAGTGTCACCGTTCGGTTGCAGAACGTCAGGGTGATTGGCACTGTCCTCGCCTGCTATCTTATGTTACATGTGTACACGGATGATGCGACTCTTGCATGTTGCTGACCTGTTCCCGCTCTGCCAACATGTGCGCGAACTTTATTTGCCGATTCTGGATGCTGAGGTTCCTGGAACTTGGGAACCACCCCCCTGGCGATTTCCAGAGGCGTAAGGAGGAGAAAACGATCGCCCTTCGTCGCAGCTCTTGACTGCAGTTCCGTCGTCGCGCGTGGCTTCAAAGAGTCGCGGGTGAAAGTATCACCCCTTTGCCCCGCTCCTGGGGCGTCTACCGAAGCTTCGAGGCCCCGCTGGGGCGAGGTCTGTTGCGAAATGCAAGGGGTCCGCGCCAAGTGGCCCGAGCTGCTGTCTCTTGTCCGGCAGGTGCCCGTCGGGGCGAATGTGCCTTGGGAAGTGGGCTACGAGACCTTCTGCGGGGACGTGATCAAGACTCGTAATCTTGGGGCGCTTGGGTCCGATGGGGTTCCATGCTTCTGTTGCCGCCTTGGATATGTCCCCGCGAGTTTTGATTTGATTCGGGATCTGGTTGCTGGCAAATTCGAAACGCTTCCTCGGGGCAGGTTGGAGGTTCATGGGTTTCTTGCCAAAGGGCGGCTCGAAGGGCGACGGACATAAGTTTCCAGAGCGCCTGGGAACGCGCGTCCACTTTCCAGGCGCGTATCTCTGGTCGCAGCATGGCTGCTCGCATTGCGCGTGCTGAAACGCGGGCGCTCTCGGACATGTGCTTGGTAAGGAAGATAGCCCGTGGGTCCTGACGGACTACTCTGCCGCCCTCCGATCTATCTCGGTCGAGCGGTTCCTGGCAGTGTTGGGAGCGATGGGGGTCCAGAGGTTCATTGCCAATGTGTTATTGCATGTTCTATCCGGGTGGCACTGCTCTGATTTCTACGATGGGAAACAATGCGTGCAACGATCGAGATTGCTAGAGGTTTGGCATGGGGGCCCTGCGCCCATGGTACTCGTCTGTCTTGGGACGGCTCCTCCCCAGGCCTATACCAGTGAGTGCTTCTGGGAAGCTCTACGCCTACAGCTTGAGCGCGCAGATGATTGCCTGTGTAGAATCCGAAATACGACTGCTCATGTCGCTCGGCTTTTCAAGTGACGCAGCCCCTTGAAACTGCGATCGGTCTAGCGCTGAATATCCACCAGTGCGTGGCACCCGTTCGCATCCGCTGCCTTTCAAGCACGTTTGAGGAGGCGCATCGCTGAGCACATCCCTGAGCTTCTCCACGTGCAGGTTGCTTTATCCTGCAAGGGCTCGGCATGATGATTGCCCACTCTGCTCGCGGATGCTACAAGGGCAAACTGGCGGCAAAGTTGGCTCCGAGGGTGAGAGCGGCGCGCCGCGCTGGTCTTACTTTGCTAAGCATATCTCCACGTTCCACGCGTTATGTCTAGGCATCTCATTGTTTGTTGTGCAGTTTGCTCCCATCTCACGTTCTGTCGTGGTCGCCTACAAGAATGCATTGCAGCTTCCTGTCATTGGTCCGCATTTCAGTTTCAACCGCGAGATGTTGACACATCTGGCCTCCGTGGGCTTCCTTGGTCAGCGCAGAAACCTTGAGGTTGTTTCCTCGAGCTACTAAATTCACGCTCCTTTCGAGGTGTTTGGAGATCCTGGGAATTCTAGAGGACCTGGAACAGCTTTGAACGAGTGATGAGGCATGTGTTGCACGCGCGACGTCAAGCTGCGCCAGCGTCACTGTTGCTCCCGCTCTTCTCGCCACGTTCCGCAGCGTTCGGGG